TCGCAATACCGATGTCGAAGCTCCTCATCAACACCTGCCAGAGATCTCACAGGAGAAATCTGGTAAAGGTGGAAACAATGGTTGGCATCAGGAACATATGAGGGCAGGTGGGGATCCAATAACGCGAATGCCATTTGGAGGAGGCGATGGTGCTGCAGATGATCTTCCGTACAATGGTGCCCCGGCGCCAACATACGAAGCATCAATTGCACCGACAGAGCGATTGGGAGTAGTTCCTGCAGGAAGAGTGAACACGAATCGGGGACCGTGGGTCAGAGATGAGAAGTCTCGAGAATTGTGGGAAGCGGATGATATGCAAATGAGAGCTACGAGTAGTTATGGACATTTGGAAGGGGGAGATGAGAAATCGCCAGCATGGGGAGTCCCGCCGAGAAGAATTTGAAAGCTGGGTCTTTCTTTTGAAAAGGGTTACGAAACGACTTTATGATTGATGGATAGATACGATTATTACATACATACGTACATAGACATAGCATGGCATGTGGATTTAATGGATACACATTAGAGAGACGATGGGTTGAATCAAAGGAAAGGAAGGCACAGGCGAAATAACATGTTTAGAGATTTGTATAGAGTAATTTTAATTTCGCCTGATATCAACACATCCACTCATGCATGTGTATAAATGTCTATTGAGAAAATGTTTTGTGATGCTTCATTTCTGAGGAAAGCTGGGGGGTAACTGGGTACGGTACGGTGTATATTATTTCCCTCATCTCATTTTTCTAGACTCATTGACTTTTAATCGTATGTAGGTGAGAAATACATTTCGCTCTGGGATATTTATTGTACAGATATTACTAATGATCGCCGCCTGTCGCCAAACCAGAACATTAATGGAGTATAGTAGAGTTTCTCTCCTCGCTCGAGGTATCTCCCACGGTCTCGTGGGAGATTGGTATGATCACACATACATGCTTGGATATATTACCGTTTTTGTACACTACTTTCCATTATCCATCCATCCATCCATTCATTCATCCACTCATTCATTCATCTATCTATGCTAAATGTAGAAATATACCATATGTACAATTGCCATTATTATAATTCTGATTAGGTAGTTTAGTTAAGCGACCAGAACAGATAATCCTCTCAATTGAACTAAATTATTTCATACCTCCTCCCTTCCCATCACGAAATATCGAAGGAGAGATGGGAAAGATAATCATGACCAGAAAATTCCGCATGCACTTCTATAAAATATGATGATTGACTCTAACATGAATAAATACAAATGGTATCACGAATAATAACCTGACCTAACTGCAATCTATAATATACATATTGAACAAGAATATGCGTCTATCGTGCAAATGCTCTCGAACTCCGATGTTACCGTTACCCCATTTCTTTGACTCCCAAAAGGTAGAAACATATGAAAGTCTTCCTTAGCTCACGGAAAGGAAAATCGTAAACCCGAGAAGAAGGAGAGACATCATTTTTATGATTCGTCATGTCCCTCCATCTATCTATTCATCTATCCACCCATCAACTCATCCACACTCTCACTCCCTCGTAAACATCTTCCCACTCTCCATTTCAATATCACTTCCAGCACTCACCCTCTTCAACCGTTCCATTCCTTCGTGCTTACTTCTAAACTTAAAGTTTGCTTCCACCCACGCCCCTTTCATCGCAATTCCCGGATGCAATAGCGTAAGTCCCCCAACCGCAAGAGTAATCATCGCACCTTCCAAAATCATGAATTCATCCTCATGACCAATGAAAAGAGGGCCATTGAAGCCACCCGATAATTCTATACATCTGTAGATGGAACGAATGAGGATAGTGATTGTCGCGAGGCAAAGTCCGCCGAGGAAAGATTTGAAGAGAGTGGAAGAAACGAGATCGATGTAGCGAGCGTTCCAAGCTCCTTTTGCGCGGCGAACTCTCCATGCGAAATCAGTGCAGAGGATAGCGAAGAGGATGAGAGAAAAGACTTGGAAAGCGAGACCTGCTAACATGATATTTTTGCCCAAATCTTTATTGTTGAGTGTGTCGGCAGTTGAAGCGATGGCGCCACCAGCGGCTTGGAGCACGAGGGAGATAATATCACAGGTGCAGAAGATGATGGTATATGTTCCTGGTCTGAAGCGAGAGATTTCTTGGCCGTAAATAATGACGATTCGAGACAGACAAAGGTAGATTCCTGCGGTGAGGAAAGCAGGGGCGATGGTTAGACAGATGAGATACATTAGGAAGTAATTGTTATCGAAAGGATAGTTATTAATAAGAACTCTGGCAACGTAACCGATGATTTCGAGGATCTAATGAACGAGAAAGTTAGTCTAGTAATCTTAAATTTCGTTTGTATTTATATCCACTCCTGATTGAAGTGCGAGGTGGAAATTGAAAAGCGTAGAACATACTAATCCAAGAATGATAGCAATCATATATCCCCATGTTTTGAACTTAATGCCTAGAGCCAATTGTGCAACACAGAATACCCCGAATAAACCGGCGTATATGGTATTTCCAACTACGGTCGGCCGATACTCGAAACTTGACAAGGAAAGATCACAAGTGTCAAGTGTACATAAATTTGGATTCATGAGTAGAGTCGCATTGCCGTAGCCAACACCATGCCCATCCGAATGAGTTAAATTTGACATTTTGATATCGGTCATGAAGCGAGGGCCAAAGAAGGGACGGAAGCAATAAAAGTTACTTTGAACTGAAGAAACAACGAGAATGGAAGGGGATGAGGATGTTTTGAAAGATGATTCAAGCTTGACATTTTGAACTTCAGAGGCTTCCAGTTACCTTTTAATATTTTCAACATCAGGCAGTGCAAATTTGTAGATAATGTAGATGTCGGCATTACGGAGGATTTTGAGTGCGAGGCATACGACAACAACACGGCCATGCCAATAATATCGACAAAGGTGCTTATGTCAGCTATCAGGTAAGCAGATTAATAACTGTGATTGGTTCCATCGTAGAATTGAATGAAGACTACTCGACTTGGCCCTCCAAGATCCAATTTTTAAGGTTAGATCCTTCATGAACCCATTTTATTTGTTCATGTCAAAGAAGATAAATAGATCGGACATGTTATTGGTAAGGATTACATATTGCAAGGCTGAAATTGATGCAATTGCAGGAAGATTTGGAACGATATAAAGCGCCATCAGGAACGAGCATGAAATTGGTACAGCAATGGCATTATCATTGCCAACCTTCCCTGGAGACTTCTCTCAAGCCATCTTTGAAGTTTAAAAAAGGACTAACTAAGAGGTACTTAGATTTAGAAAGGAAGAATCTGATTTGAGGATCAAAAGCACTTGCTTTTTTTTGTTATCTGACTTGGCCTTATCATTGACAAGCCAGTCGTAACTGGACCTGGTGGACCCAACTCTGAACATTACGTCAAAAGGATCACCGGTGTGTCGTGCTTACACACAACACAGGAACATAGGCCTTTTCCAAAGACCGAAAGGGCGGATTTCATCAATTTTTGAGATTTTTTTGGCATTGCTGACCAAGCAAAAATAAATGCCAATGCCATAGATGTACATGCTTTTCAAAAGACCTCTCTTCATACTTCGGAAGAGGCATTGTTTGTCAAATACAGCAGACGATCAATGGTCTGAAGAGTCCAAATTCAAACGTCTCTCTTGCCTCTCCATCAAATGAAACCGGGTGTTGGAGCCAAGAGAATCGCCGGTGCTCGCGCATGCCACGGATATTGATTGATACACATACCTACATCAACGGTTGGTTATCTCCTCATCTCTTGTGTGACCCATCTGAAATGGATTGTGGGAGATCCAACGAGATATCAATTGGCCTCAAACTTGGAATGGTAAGAACAGCAAACTCTGAGAGAAGCATAGGACGACGCACATCAAGTCGAGTTTAACTTGAGGTATGGTTGGCCGCAAGAGAGAGGTCAAAGAGGTGAATCGGCCACCGTCAGGTGTGTACAGTTTTGGCTGGCTGAGACGATAATTATTATTGACTCGACCTGTGGTGGAAGTTTTCCAATATGGACGATGGCGGCCTGGTAACACGATGAACCACCAACACTTTGGTCTGTCACCTCGAGGGAGCACTATCTAATGAATTGGGATAACACAAGCTCCCATCAACTGGAAACTCGATCCCGATAAACATTTGCTACCAATCATGACCTTCCCAATGATCTTTTGTTGAGGCATAGAGCTAGGAAGAAAAGTATGGTGCAGTGTGATGAGTCGAAAAAGAGAGAAGAGGAGGTAGGACGATATATATTATGATTGTTACCATCAAATTGTACAGAAGTGTAATGCAATGTAATGAATGTACCAGGTAGGGGAAGAGGGTTCTAGTCAACAATACCTACACAGGTAGCTTCGTGCTTCAGACAACTTCATCTAGCTAAGCTTCATCTTCATATAGTAATGAAGCAGTGAAGTGGCAAACTTTAAACATTCTCGAGGCATTCAACAACTCAAGCATTCACCGACTTTCCCAATGCAACATTAATGCAACAACAGCATCAAGAAATGATGAAAGCTTATCGCACGTGATGACAATCAACCCTTACTAACAAATGAAAATCTAGTGGTCCGATTTCGCTCTTCACAACAATTTTCTGATATCTTTTATGCATCAAATATGTATTATGTATCTGCATAACCCCACACACCTCCAAATTCACTAACAAAAAAGAAAAGAAGAGCGTCAGAGTCAGAGTCATACCTCATTCGAAAGATTTTCCTTGGAAAGCATAAATACCTTCTTGTACATGAGAAATTTTCTTTCTTCTCTCTCCTGCTTGAATCAATTCACTTTACTATCATATCAATTGAACATTATCAACCTTGATTTTTCATCTACACATAATTCTTCTATTGTCTAACCATCTTCTATCCATCTAAAGAAGAAGAATTCAATTCCTTTGAAAGAACCAACAACAAACACAATTCTAGAGTTTTTTCTCTTTCCTCACCAACCTCAATCAACAGCCATAAAAACTCCTCAATAACTACACAATGTGTCCTTCCTGTGAGCCAGAGCAGGCTTTAGAAACTATTGCCGCTCATGCTAATGGCAATGGCACTGCTTCCAATGGATCAAACGGTAGTGCGCATACCTCTCAGTCTCTAATGTCGATACCAAGACTAACTTATCAATTCTAGCTCACCCAGGATACACAGCCATCGAGACCAAGAAGAACCCACATCCAGCCAAGAGAGATAACCCATATCAACCCGTCGGCGATTTCCTCAGCAATATCTCAAGTTTCAAGATCATCGAAAGTACTTTGAGAGAAGGTGAACAATTCGCCAATGCTTTCTTTGATACCGAGAAGAAGATTGAAATTGCCAAGGCATTGGATGATTTCGGTGTCGACTACGTGAGTCAATTGCTATTCACAGAATTCTATTAAGTATATTATACTGATACAAAGCTCGCAGATCGAATTGACTTCACCAGCTGCTTCAGAACAATCAAGAGCTGATTGTGAAGCTATTTGCAAGTTGGGATTGAAGGCTAAGGTTGGTACCAGTCTCCGCACACTGAAGTTCACACTAACTCTCATAGATTCTTACCCACATCAGATGTCATATGGATGATGCAAGAATCGCAGTACAAACCGGTGTTGATGGAGTGTAAGCTTGATTAATCCCCCGCAGAATTATCACCTCTAACATGTCTCAGTGATGTCGTTATCGGTACCTCATCTTATCTTATGGAACATTCCCACGGAAAGGATATGACCTACATCAAGAACACCGCAATTGAAGTTATCGAATTCGTCAAGTCACACGGCATCGAAATCAGATTCTCTTCCGAAGATTCTTTCCGATCCAACCTCGTCGATCTCCTATCAATTTACTCCACTGTTGACAAGATTGGTGTTAACCGTGTTGGTATTGCTGATACCGTTGGATGCGCTTCACCAAGACAAGTTTACGATTTGATCAGAACCCTTCGTGGTGTCGTTAGCTGTGATATCGAAACACATTTCCACAATGATACTGGTTGCGCTATCGCAAACGCATACTGCGCTTTGGAGGCTGGTGCCACTCACATCGATACCTCCGTTTTGGGTATCGGTGAGAGAAACGGTATCACCCCTCTCGGTGGACTGATGGCTCGTATGATTGTCGCAGACCGTGAATACGTCATGGGCAAGTACAAGCTCCACAAGCTCAAGGATATTGAAGATTTGGTCGCACAAGCTGTCGAGGTTAACATTCCATTCAACAACTACATCACTGGTTTCAGTGCTTTTACCCACAAGGCTGGTATTCATGCCAAGGCTATCCTCAACAACCCATCTACCTACGAAATCATCAACCCAGCCGATTTCGGTATGACCAGATACGTCCACTTCGCATCCAGACTTACTGGATGGAACGCTATCAAGTCTCGTGCCAACCAATTGAACATCGAGATGTCCGATGAGCAATACAAAGAATGTACCGCTAAGATCAAGGCCCTTGCCGATATTCGATCCATTGCAGTTGATGATGCCGATTCAATTATTCGTGCTTTCCACAGACAAACCAAGACCGGTAAGGCCGTTGAGCTTTTGCCAAATATGACTGAAGAGGAAAAGGTTTTGTTGGCCAAGAAGGAAGCTGAGATTGCTGGTGTTCCTGAGAAGCGCAAGTTGGATGAGGTTGCCGAAAGTCAAGCTAAGAAGGCTAGAAATGACGTTTCCGCATAAATGAAGAGAGGATGAGATGACATCTAATTTGAACCACATCTAGTCTGTTAGGGGGTAGCTGAATTCTCCCCAGACAAGATGGATCTAAAGGAAAGTAGTTGAAATCTTCCTAGATCTCGGTCCAAAGATGATTGAAATCTCCCTCATGGATACTTCATTTATCGAAACAAAATGGCGGGCTGAAAAGTTGCTTGTGCTATTTGATATTTCTTTCCTTTTTTAAGTTGATGATTTGGACGGCCTTTGAAAAGATTCCGCGGGATATACAATTTTTGCGAGCTTTGCTTTGGGTTGGATGGATGTTCAGTTGTAGTATCACTTCATACATTTGGTATGTATTGAGAGGAAGACACATATTGCTTTCTTCGATAGTTGGCGGAAATACAATTCGATGGAATTACATAAATCTTTACGAGCTTTTTATTAACATGACATGGTGATTATTTGTACATGGTATGATGTGAAGTGTGAGGTCAAGTAAACAGCTGAAAGATTAAATCTTGAGATCATCTTCGTGTTGCGCGTTGAATGGCCTGGAACCCTTTCCTACACATTCAAGCTGCATCAAAACCTATAGTCGTCTTTGTCAAGTCTCGAAAGATTTCATCGAAGAATTAATCCATTCATTCATTACTTTCAATTATTAGCCGCCCTAAAATATGACCAACCCATTTCGTCACATCGTTGCAAAGTTTCATATCCGAACCGTCCAATTCTTCCATCCCCGCAAGTTGTTCTTCTTTTTATTCGACATAAGCCCTACAAGACAGCAACCACACCCAAAACCGCTCCCATCAATCCTCCCACCATCTGAACACCCATAGTAGGCGCCGCGTTTGTTGTAACCGAAGCGGGTGAACTTGCAGATGAAGATGCCGAGGCAGATGCCGAGCTTAATGCTGAAGAAACGGCTGCACTGGCCGAGCTGGACGCCGAAGAAATAACTGAACTGACTGAGCTCGATGCCGAAGAAATAGCTGAACTGATTGCTCCTCCAGGATTCGATGATGTCAATGCGGTACCCGTCGCGCTTGCCGTAGAGGATACGCTGGTATTGGTGAGAATGCTCACAACACCGCCTGGATTGCTGGAGCTCAATGCACTTCCGGTCGCGCTTACATCTGCAGTTGTTGAGCTTGCAAGACCCCCGGGATTCTCAGACGTGATGGCTTGGGTGGTAACGCTTCCGGTGACCGCGGTAGCAGAAGCGCTGAATGCTGAGCAGAGAGCGAAGCCTACGCTAGCGGCAGAAGCGAGTTCGTCGACGTCACAGGCGGAGATGAGACAGGGGGTTACGGCGGTTTGGATGGCGGCTTGCGCGGTGCCGCATTGGCAGGCTTGGTCGGTGGCTCCGCAGCCGGCGACGGAGATGGCGCTTTGGAGACAGGAGACCTGGTGGGTGGGTTAGTGGGAGGGGAGGTGAAAAGTTCAGGGGGAGAGGGAGGGAAAGGAGAGTGATGGGTATCGATGGAGAGGGGTGAGGAATGGCAAATAAAACTTACAGCGCAAGCAGGTTCAGCACCAAAGTTCTGTGCAGATACAGCGATGAAAGTACCGGCGATGGAGAAAGCGGTTGAGAATTTCATTTTGATAATGATCTTATCGTACCGAAAGTTCGATGGTTCTTTCGATGGTTCTTTTGGTTATCTGGTGATGGATTTGTTTATTTGGATATTCAATCAATCAATCAATCAATCAATCTCAAAGAATATAACCTTATTCGTGAACTCTCAAATCAATCACTTGATCAAAATAACAGTGAATGAACATGTATCAAAAACCGTAAACGACAATCAAGAAGTAATCACAAAAACAGAATTGAACGTTCACCAAAAACAATAGCACCAGGAACCCTTTTAACTCCCCCAAACACCAAAGCTACCCTAGCACGCCTAGCTGCGGGGAAATATGATGAACAGGGAAGCTGCACTTGCCGTTCCATCATAATGCAGGTTTTATATATAGATTGTCGATGTTCTTGTATGGAATAGGAAGCTCGAATTGAGTTTTGTGGTGGGAGGTTGAGGGTCCGGCTATTGTTCCTTTTTCCCTTTGAGGGGGTTTTACTTTTATTTGATAGGCTCAGAAGGTTATGTGATTTGCGAGGACTGTGCGATTGGAAGCCGGAAGGTAAACTAACCATTCGTTTGGAATAGTTACAAAAGCCCCAAGAGTCTGGTATTCGCTTGATGGATTGATTCGTTACTATTGAAATCACGAGGTGTGCGGTACGAGGAAGGTACGATGTCTTGATTCTGATCTCCATCCATTGCACTTTTTGATATCTTGGCAATCTTTCCCGAAGAATCCACTCGTGAACCAGCGGAATTCGTTAATACACGGTACGGTACGGTACGGTACGGTATACAGATGCCCCGCCACACGAATCCCCACCCAGTCACAGTAAGTAGGTATTTCATCGTAGGACCCATCACGATCATCACAATCCCTCCAGTAACCTTATCAACCACGCGTTTTCATCATCTAACTCCTCCACTACGCATCTCCTTTTCCTTTCAACCTTCCTCTCTTGAAATGGCTCCTGGAGAAAAAGAAGAAAAACTTGAAACCTAAAAGATGCACCTCCTAAAGAAGGTAATTCTGGCCAGCTATCTTGGCGGAGTCTGTGATTCACACGTGGCGTCGTTAGGTATGCACCCAGCCATCTTTTTGGTGTTGGCAAACGTACGCCATCGTGTTGCTTGCGATTGAGAGATGGTGGAATGTAATGGTGGTAATTGAGGGGATTTGTATTCGTCGTGAGTGTCTGTGATTCGGATGATGATTGGGGGAGGATGGGTAAATATCCTAGATAATAATCAAATTCTCAAATGTTGGAATTCACAGGCAGCTATTTGAAGGTGCAAGGAAGCATGGAACAACGAGGTGATTTGGATACATATGAATGCGACAAGTTGTCATGAGATTCAGGGATTACAATATTTCAGTCGGATTCAATTTCTCAAATGACACCAAATGATTTCATTATCTCAGAACTTTTAGGATCAGATATCAATTCATACTGTTGAATGCAATTATAAGAAAAGACCCGGCTAGAACACCACCACCAGCCATGAGGTGGACAATAGTGCGAGTGAGATTTTGTCCATCCCATCTACCCAAATTAATATAACTAATAACTCACCGCTTTCCACCAAATCTATTCTCGTGGACTTAGGAATCGAGTAGTACTCATCCTAATATCCGTCAGTACTGCCCTGCATCATCATGTGATATTGCTAGAGGGCACAGCCTCTCTCAAGCAAGTCTGGCTTTTTGACGTCGTAAGCAGATGTTATCGGCGACTTCTGCCCAGCTTCGTTCTGTCTTGGCATCTAGCTCCGTCTCTGTCTCTGGCTCTTGCTTCTAAAATATCACTGTTCTCTTCCTCGATAAGACGTCTTTCGTCCTCCCCGTTCTGAAACTCAACTAAGCGTCCTTCTGATTCCTCTTTGTCCGTGAATGCATCCCCATCAAGCTCAATAGAAGGAATAGGAATATCCGGATCTAACCCCATCTCTCCCAATGTCAGAGTACCTTCTTTTCCTGTGCCAATATTAATTCTTGACGAACAGGTCTCCCCATCAGTCTCAATAGAAGGAATAGGAATTTCCGGATCAATAATCCCCTCACCCACTTCCAACTCCACATCCCTTTCCTTCCCCACACTCCTACCCGCTCTCGAGCAACAAACCTCCTCAGATATCATCCCCTCAACATATAAACACCCCCCCTCCCTCCAACCTCCCAAACACTCACTACCCCCCCAACATCGACAATAACACCCACACTGACCGCACTCCCCACACAATTCAACCTGCACGAACCCTCCGCCGATACCAAAACCCCCCATATCTCCCAGGAAACCTCATCCTTTCCGCAACCTCAGAACCATATTCTCGTCTCGTATCTTCGTGAGCACACAGATGTGTATTAGCTACGACTTCCCCTCTATGGTTTGCAATTGTACAAATAACAGTAACGGATAGGTATACATACTTTCGCACCACAAGAATTTATCGGTAGTGTATATTAAAAATGGTCCGTACGCAGGCGCATCCGGATATTGTCTCGCGAGGTGAGAGTGTCTGGAATTTCATATTTTGTTATGTTGATGCGTTGCTGTAGTTTTGCTTTGGGAGTCCAAGGCCTGGTGGGGATGCCAGTTGTATTGGGGGTGGCAGTGAGGGTTTTGCGGTTCGCTTTTTGAGGGGTTGGGTCCGAAGTTTTTGGCCATGGTGGGTGGTGGTTGCGTTGCTTTGTAGGCTGCTGATGTTTGTTGTTCCGTTTGTGGAAGAGGAAAAATAGAGAGATTTCTTTATGTTTTATTCAAAATACGTGACAGCGTGGTGTCTCGAAGTGTAGATTGAAAAGTCAGAAGTTTTGAATGAGGATACCTTTTATGTCTTCAATTTCCAGATACCTGTTTGATGTTGCAAGATGTTATCGGTGAATATTTCCGAGCTCGAGTTTCTAATTTCAATTCACTTGATCCAGTTGCCTATATATTCCCTCTCGATTCGGGATGAATGCCCCTAAAGGACTTACACGCACCAAATGATCGATGTTGCATGATAGCTGGATAAAAGTTCCAATAAAAGTGAGATCCGTCGTTTAGTAAACTCTTTTCTGGAATCATCGCTTCATACGTCGAGGTGCCTGTAGCAAGCTTTTCGCTGTCATAAGCCACATTTCAACAGCATACTTTCGGTGAAAATTATCCAAGAACTAGTACCTCTTCCTTTCATATTTGTTGTCAATCTGGATACATATAAGTCGGCCAAAAGATTAGTGACATGCGTTCCCTGATATATCGTCTGGCATGCGCGTTTTGGTCCATATATACCTTGTAGGAACCAGACAAAAACTTGGAAAATCTTGCAGACGAAGGGATATTATTAGTGATGGAGCTATACAAAGTGACTAATTAACAAAATCTCTTAAACGCTTGTTTATGCAAGCGATATTACCACTTTCCTAGCAGAAACGCCTTTCCTCTGTATTTCTATCCCCTTTTCTACAGATTCCAAACCATTTCCAACAACCATAGCCTCAGGAGCGGCAACAAAAACGCCTTTCTCCAACGCTCCCGAAAGAAAATCCCCAAAAATTGCCTTGCCTACGTCATTCATTGCCAAAGATGAGCCTTCAACGAAAGCGTTGTCAATTCCTCTGACTCTCTTCTTAATTTGGTTGGAAATTATCCAAGGAACGAATGTACATATAACTTTCGGAAGTATGAATCTTTTTGGTGGTGGAAATGGTACGGGGAAAGTCATCATTGACAGGAACTTCCTCCCTTTACACTTATTGAGGATATCCATGCATGCATCAGCAGCTCCTTGTCCTATTGACATCGCACCGGCAGTAGTCTTGCCTTTAAATGCATTTATAATATCAGGAATAGCAGTCTTGCTATTGTAATCAAAGACTTGACTTGCACCAAGTTTCTTTAAGAGGTCGAAGTTTCTGGGAGATGAGGTAGAGATGACTTCGTAACCGGCTGCGACGGCTAATCTGAGGTTTATTGTTAACATGAGATGATTAAGGGAATGAAAGGGATAACAAATGCAGAACAGAGACTTACTGTATAGCGTTTACGCCAACACTGGTTGAACCACCCCAAATAAGTACAGTCTCCCCCGTTGATTTTGGGGACAACGATGGCAATTCTAGCGCCAACTGGTCCTTTTGGAAAAGCCCAGTAGCTGCGGAAGAAAGTGCCAAAGGTATCACACAAGCTTGCTCATAAGATAGTGTATGAGGAATGTGCGAAGTCATATTATCCAGAAGGATAGTATAGAGTTGAAAACCACTTTGCGTGAGGACATTGGATGATTCCGTGAGACCCATTGCCATACCTGCAACACGATCTCCAACCTTAAACCGTGTAACTTCGGGGCCAATTTCAACCACTTCTCCCGAAACATCATATCCAAGAATGCATGGATATTTCACCCACGGAAACATAAAACTGCCCATATCTTGCTTAATCCAATCTACTGGGTTCACGGCAACAGCTTTATTCTTTACAAGAATTTCATTCTTCAGAGGTAGAGTATAAGGCGCAGGTCTAACCTCTAGCTTGCCAGACAGCTCCAGCCATAATGCAGAATTTGAGGGGGGAGTCATTGAGGGAGACATGTATATATATATATATATATCTAGTGGGACGTCTGGGCGAGGAGAGGACTTAGAATTTCCGGATGCGATAGATGTCGATTTTGACGGAGATAATCGGTATGAATCTGCGATTGAGTACCTAGTATTAAGAGCTAATTGACACGAGAAAGAGATGTGCTAAGAACTGATTGCCTACCCTCAAAACGAGCATGCAATGAAAGATACTTATACCCGTTCCTTACCATTGCTGCGGACTTCAAACCATCAACATGAGTGGAGAATTCCATTCCACTTTGTCCGATTCTTCACCCAGATTACAACTTCTGTGTGAGATCCTTCAGACATCGTTGGCAGATGATGTTATCATTCTATCACAATGCGAGATGAAGTTAGTATGTTTAGAAAGCGAGAGCGAAGTGTGAAGAACGTATGTAGAGACGTTTTTTAAGTTTTAGTGGAACTGAATTGAGGGTTGGAATTCCATGATTTGATTGGTTCAATGACTAAAATAGCTTAGGCTAGAATTGTAAATGCGAATGAAGGTTAGCGTCCCATGAGCTATCCGAAGCTTACTAGGTATTTGTTTATCCGACTCCGAAGAATGCACATGGGAGACCGCCAGACTGGGAAAAATGTGAGAGAATCCACCTTCGACTTTGAGATCTTGTTGTACCTTGTCGAGATTTGTTATATGTTGTGCAGATCTGAAATTTATCGAATATCATTGAAATTCGATGCCGGTCATAGAATACCATAATGGCTTGCCTGGTTGACGGTTGACCTAACATGAACCTTTACCCCTTTCATTCCCTTATCACAATGTGACCCGTCCAAACAAGCTACTTTCTCGCAGAATATCCATAAGCAGCATATCGTGAACAGCCCATGCTCCTTCTTCTCTCTCCAGACCTTACACTATCTCTTGGGTCGTGCAATAGAGTCTCTATCTTTTAGGGCCTTACGTTCGATAAATCTTCAATTACTCTAGAGTCATGACAACCCCCTTCTCGATCTCCGGAAAAGCTCCCCACCGGACGATAAGACCACACAAAAAATCACGTCGTGGATGTGGAAACTGTAAGTTGAGAAAAGTCAAGGTATGTTCAAGTTCTCGTCCCATCCCAAGCGAATATGTTTGACTGGTCGCCCGCAGTGTGATGAGGATAGACCAAAGTGTAAACGGTGTGCAGAATTCAATGTTCTCTGCAATTACGACAACCAAACTTCAGCACTTCAACTACTTGAGAAGTCTTTTACCTTTGAGACTCTTCAGCACAGACTTCCCTATTCATTAAACCAAACAATCCCGATCTTTATTAGTTCGCGGCTGAAAACTCCCGGAAAGATTGATGTATACGATTTGAGCGATCAAGAACATTTGGAGTTATTGAACAAGTTTCAAACGAGAACTGTTTACTCTATAACAACGAGCAGAAATCTTCAGATATATCAAAATGAGTTCATCAAGCTATCATGTCTGGTATGTTGAAACATAAAATTTCCACTGATCTTCTGCTGACCCACTACAGCATCCATACTTGATGCACGCTCTACTTACATTTACGCTAATGCATGACCGACACATCTCTATTGAGCACAGTATAAGAATGTCTCCTCGGGAAGCTTTTCATTGGTGTCAAAGTGTATCATTATTCAGCAGAAAATTGTCATCCGGATCAATTGAATCTTCATCAGAACGCGATGCTTTATGGGCAACTTCCGTTCTTCTTGGTATAATTACATTTTGCAATATCGAAGCAGCGGGTCCAGAAGAAGCTTGGCCTTTGAAAACACCTTCGTCTCTAGATTTGAATTGGTTAACGATGAGCTATGGGAAGTCTGAAATCTGGAAATTGGGTCTGGACCAAAATGCGAGCGCATTCAAGACATTGATGGCACCGTCTTTTGAAACCTCATCACAATTCTCACACATTCGTCTTGAGACATTGCCCCAAGCTCTCGTCACACTTCTGGATTTGTATCCCAGTTCCAAATCACATGATAACCCCTATCATCTTGCGGCATCTTTATTATCGGATATTATCGATCTTGATGATCCTATTACCGTAATTCTGAAGTTTTGGACCTTTGTCAGCAGTATGCATCCGCAGTACAAAAGACTACTCTTACAAAAAGAACCTCGCGCTCTCTTGTTGCAAGCTTATTGGTTTGGAAAAGTTTGTCAATTTCCACATTGGTGGATTTGGAGGCGTGTATCACTGGAGTGTCAGGCTATCTGCATATTTTTGGAAACTTTTCACAAAAATGAATTGGATATTCAGACACTTCTAGTCTACCCAAAGATGATCTCTGGGCTGACTTCTTACTGAATTCTCGGTGGAGGTGGCTTCACTAATCTATTTTTAGAGATTCTGAGAGTCATCCTGACTGTGTTTGTGACGCATAGATGTTGATGGTCATGTGCTACCACTTGTCGTATCAATTAATATACTTCAATCACCACGGTAGCATCTCTTCAACTTCACTGTCTTTTCCATTTGGACCGTCTTTTGTATTTCTCCAACAAAATTTTGCCATTTTCCTGTACACAGTATTATTTTCGTGTCAGGGCGCATCCAAAGCCACTCGATTTAGAATCCTGTTGTTCTTCTCGACTTACTTGCAGGGTACCAAGCAAGACTTTATGGATATTCGGTGTCAAGGGGAAACTTGCTATCTTGAATATTCTTTTGCCCACAATTTTGAGATTGAATATCAACGAATTGTCTCTAATTCGCATTTTTATGTCGATAACTACCTAATAACGACGAAGCGCAAAATCGTAAGGAGGCAGAGTATTCCAGAGCGCTCTTATTGCTCGTCGAATTCCATTCACTTCTAGCAATTTTTCTTCGATTCATACAATCGGTCGTCAATCGTTCGAAATAGATTCACTTGTCCCTATTTCCCCATGCGCTTTTCAAGATGAAGGCCGATATCTTTTATCTTCGCTAAGTGTAAGGGGGTCAAAGTCAATTTCTTCGGACAATACCACTATCATTTTTCTTCTCGAGGCACCTTGCTTTCTTTCTGTTGTTTTTTTGTTCTCTCTGACGTCTTATTGTTTCTCCTTTGTTTCCTCTTTGTTCTCTTATCTTTTATCCCTATAAAGCCTTACCCTCGACTAAAGTTAATATCATCACCAACATCACGCCATCACACCTGAAGACGCCAAAGCCCAAGCTATCAACAAGATTATTCTGTATCCATATTCAATTCGAGATCTTAGCAAACCTTGTCCGCAACAATGTGTTTCAATCCAGGCAAAGCTTCCAAGAGCAGCTGCAATAAATCAGTCATTTCTAACCCAGCTCCTGTTCTTCGACACGAAATTAATGGCTGGGTGTGCTGTTGTTGTGGCCTAGATAACGGCGGAGATTGTGTTTGGTGTGCGAGATGTACTCATTATACAGTCAATTGTGTTTCTTGCTTTTCCTATTAAGTAACCCTCCGTATTGGGCGCTTGAAATGGAGAGTTCGATGGTTACAATGACTGGCAGGTTCAGTGCAGGATCACTACACCAGCTGGTCTAATCAATTTTAGTCTAAACCAATTTAATAAAACTTGAAATATATGTGAGTTTTCGAATGATATATACTAAATTTCGTCTTCTTTTTGCCATGTGCCAATACCCCACACTTTTTCCTACCCACTCTCGAGCTACTTAGCATGAACCCCCCGCTATTTTGTACACAATAAAATAATCCGAGCCTAATACCTCCCCATAAATTATTACAACCACCAACTTCAAGGTTGGCGTGAACGTTGGTATAGCTTGGACCGAAGTGGAACCTAAAATCATGCCACACCTTTTAAGGTCCGGGTTGACGATTTGATTCTTTGACTCTAATGCTAATTTGTCTCCGCCCATCAACGAACGAACTGCATTTCTGCTTCTCATACGATTGATCGAACAAATGTACCGAGAATTGTACCGATTCGTTTCGGAAGATTATACAAATCCAGCTACAGTCAGCTTTGCATATGTTCAGACTTGGTCGGTCAAGAATGAGCAAATTAAGGTGACTGCTCAGTTTTCCATCACGTGTGGATACTTGAATACCTTGTCCCTATGTAACTGTTTGTACTATGTGAAGTGTACAGTCACGTCAAGGCGATGGCGATGACGATGATGCGGCGTAGCTTGATCTCGGCGTTTTTGAACACACAAATGAGATCTCACACTCTTAATCTTCGATCGCCCGATAAGCCTTACCGCCACTTTTGATTCTTTTGGACTAGATCAAATTACATGGAATCGTTGGAATAAGTTCCCCACAACGGCGATAAAATACAAGCGAAGGAATGAAGGATTAATCTGGTGAGATGAAGTGACAGGTGACATAGACGTCGTACGGTGAACCGTTTTCGAACACAAATGGCAATTTGGCTGGGGTATGGAGAAAATATGTGGAGATCTTGGAGAAGTTGGTTGGGGTTTTGACCTCCATGGGGTAGACAGATAAGACTTGGATTTGATGTGTCGATCTCTACCTCATTGAGTGATTTGACTTGAAGTAGTTTCGCAATTCGGTGGAGTATGCTTCCGCCCCCTTCGAGATGTCATCACACACATAAACGGAAACGGCGTCGTAGCCTCGTAGCGTTCTTCATCGCACAGCAGCGAAGGTAAGAACACACGCTGATCATCTTGACAAATTATCATTTCCGCCAAAAACTTTTAGAATCAAAACTTTCCCTCCACATCCCCAGATTACATGTCCTAGTTTAAGACCTCATTACTCGAGAGTCAATACGAGTCTTGGTCTTCGCGTTTTTTGGAATGACATGTTGATCTATTTCCTGAAATCCCGGCCAAGGAAGGCAATTTTTCTCGCTCTCACGTATCATCCTTGCATACACATGTATCTTGTACCGTGGGGTTGAGGTAAGCATCTGGGGGCTGACGGGCGGGGCGCGCGCCAAATCTTTGTGAAATCGCCCTAGCTCAGCCTAGTCAATGTAACATATTCCTTCATTGGCTCGTTGCATGCCGCTTTCCCCATTTCCTTGAAACTTA